TGGGTTCCACCGAACCCAGCACGCCTGGGTTCCATCGAACCCAGGCATGCTGGGTTCGTTGCTGGGTTCGATGCCTAGCATGCCTGGGTTCCAGCGAACCCAGCATGCCTGGGTTCGATGAAACCCAGGCGCTGGGTTCCTTAAGACCCAGCCCTTGGTTCCAAAAAAAAAAAGAAATTTCTGTTTTCTTTGTTTGGGTTTTGTTGTTTGATGATATGAGAAATTGATTGATGAAGAAGGCAAGTCAGTCGTTGGGTTTTTGCAGGTGGATGAAGATGAAGAACGCATAGCTGCTGCGTTCGAAATCGAACCTAGCATCAAACCCAGCAGCCGCTGGGTTCCTGCAGTGCTGGGTTCGATTTCGAACCCAGTAGGCACTGTGTTCAAGTTGGGTTCCTGCAGGTGCTGGGTTTGAAGGTGCTGGGTTTGATTTTGAACCCAGCAAGCACTGGGTTCCGTTTATAACCCATGGATCTGTTGAGTTCCATTTGTTTCAAACTCAGCAGTAGTTAGGTCGATGGATCTGTTGAGTTTGATCTATTTATGGATTTGTTATCTGTTGTGTTATTATTCTCATATTCTTACAGGTGCTGGATTCGATTTCAAACTTAACAAGCGTTGGGTTTTGTTTCCAACCCAATTGCAGTTGGATCGAAAGATCTATTGATTTCTCTCTGTTGGTGTAATACCCCGAAATTTTGTAATATTTTAGCATTTAATTAAGGACTTGATTGTGAGAAAAGATTGTTTTGGGGCCTAATGTGAATATTTCAAAAGTTGAGGGACTTAAAGAGGGAAAAATTTTGGATAAGGATGACTTCTTTTCTCTTTCTTTTCCTTCCTTCTTTCTTCCCCCAGCCATTCCCGATTCTGCTCTTCTTCTTCCCGCTGCAGCCACTCGAAGAAAAAAAGAAAGGGAACCCAGCCAGCCTCTGAGAAACTAGTGAGAAAGTTTGGAGATTTCTCCTTCCTTCTTGCTCTAGAACACACCTAGAACCCATAAATCTTCCCTCACCTGCTGGAAAAGCCGGATCTGCTCTGCTCTTCT